ATATTTTTGACTCTCCATTAAGCAACAGAAAAATAGAGTTTTGAAATTTATAAAAATTATTACTTTTAAATTATAATATAAAAATAATTATGTGAGGATAAAAAAAATAAATTGCAAGAGTAAGGGAGAAATAACAAGAAATTGAGAAGTGTGCGAGGTGTGTATATATTGTCAATGAAAAGGTGTATATATATAATGGGTGAGCTACCGGTCAAAGGATTTTCAGCAACATGGCCATTGTTGCTGAAATTCACTTTCAGTAACAAGAACCATGTTGCTGAAAGTGGAATGGATGGTGTGGTGACTGGAAAATGTTAGCAACGAGGGGCATGTTGCTGAAATTCACTTTCAGCAACATACCCCTTGTTGCTAAAAGTGGAAGTGGTGATACTCCCCTGTGGTTGCAGACGGCTTGTATATATATATATATATAGACTTGGCCAACCACCGGTCAAAGAATATCAGCAGCATGTTCCTTGTTGTTGATGTTTGGTTGGTAAAAAGATAAGAATAACAGCAACAAGGAACATATTGCTGAAAAGTATAGCTCAATTTAATTCCTAGGGACTCACCGGAAAATATCAGCAAGATGGAGTATGTTGCTGAAAGTAACTTTTAACAGCAAGAAGTACATTGCTAAAAGTGGGGATGCTTTTGCAGGTTGAGGTGTACGGAGTCACTTTCAGCAACAAGCCCTATGTTGCTGACACATATTTTCAGCAACAAACAATCTCATGTTGTTGATATATTATTGCTAAAAGCCAAAATTTTAATAGTGGATGAAGCAATGGCTAACCCAAAAGCCACAACTAAGGTACGTAAGGGAGGAGAGAGAAGGTGTAGATGGAGAACCCACGATGGAAGCAACGGATAGTCGACCAAATCCCTAAAGCACAGTAGCGACCTGGGAGTGGGTAATAGAGGAGTGAGATCGATAGGACATTTTGAAGACTTGGAAGATGAGAGTTTAGATTGTTTTCTTTTAATACTCCCTCCAAGTAGTTTGAGTTTTTTTCTTAATGTATTTTTATGTCTAGTATATGCATAGTAATTAATTTATTTATCAAATGAAACTATTTAATAAAAAATAAAATAAAATCTCAATTATCATTTACATATTATAAAACAATATTAACACAAAATTTGTCAAATTTGTATCAATTACCTTAAAAATTTTAATTAGGGGCAAAAATTTAAATCTCCTTGAAACCAAACAACTAATTTTTATGTCTAGTATATGCATAGTAATTAATT